GTCATGTACTAGATAAACGAGCAAAAACAGCAAGTGGAAATTTTCTTATAAAAAATTTCTCTGAATATAATGAGTAATTTACTATTGGAGAATGTTTTACAATGAATTTTTTTCTCGGAAAAAGAAGATTTTGCTTCAAACGAGAAGGAGTAAATTTGTAACATCTACGTTTTGACTTCTCCAATTTCTATCGGGTAACAATTTGGATTCAAAATTATGTACAGTCGATATTGTTGATGTGTTTTAATTACACTGATTAGCGGTTTTATTTTGAATATCTATCAGAAATTTACTAAACGAGTATGTTTGAGAAAATTTTATTATCTCAAAGGATGTATGAAAAGGAACTCTGACTGACTCTTTCGAATTGTGGCGAATCTTTTAAAATTCGAAGAAAAAAAAATCTATTATACAATTCGTGTTTGTTATAGATATGAATGTTCTAGTAGATAGTTCTAATTTTTACTGGGAATGGTGGTATTTTTATTTTAATTCATGTTTGAATGCTTGACAAATGTGGTGTCAACTAACTGTATCGTAGAAATTTTATTGTAAATTTCATTTTTGTATTATATAACTTTTAATTGCATAGTATGAAATGCCATTTTCATAATTCCGAATAGAATTATTTTAGATTTTTTTTAATCACAAAATCATTTACTATCCAAGAATTCCTATTTATTCATGAATAGTAAATTTTTGTGGTGGAAAAAAAAGATATTGTAAAAATACTAATTCCTGCTCGTTCATAATATTGTCTGTAAGAGTTATCTATAAATATATGATGAAAAAACATTCTAATAATTTTTTACATGTCTTGTCTGTTCTACATAGATCATAGTATTTATTTGTGCAAGAATTATGTTACGTTCCATCGATAGATATGGAATATGAGAGACATCTTTATTTTTACATCTTTCTCAAATAAACGAAATGTAGAATGTATTTGATTGCTCTATTGGAGAAACTGATCAACTTTTTCCCTTCCTCCCGTTCGACTTGAAGCTTAACTTTGTTGTTGTTTTTCTTCTGTATACTTTTGGCAAGAGCGGCTTTTTTTTTCTTTCTGTCCACAGTAGCGCAAACTTGAGCTCGATAACAGTTATTGCAATAAATTGTGAACATTTCCAACAATTTTTGGGATATATTAGATTTTTCATTTGTTCCATTTTATGAGTAGAGAAGAGTAATCGTGAATCGTGCTATCGTTCGTAATTTGTACAATTTATAGATTAATCGAGTTAGTCAGAATATTCCACAAGCATATTTGCACGAAATACCCAAAATTTTATTCAGATATATATGTGTAATTCAAAGGCAGATAATGTTTTCAAAAATATTGAAGTCAAACTTTTCGATTAGTTTCGCACTAATTAGAAATGATCTTTATTTGTGTGATTTATTAATGTAGAGGGCTATATGATGTAATGACGTATCTTTCTGAATAAATACTATGACCCTGTTGATAACATATGAAAAAGATTACTCAATAAAAGAAAAGCAAATACATATTTTTTTTTCTATCAAATATGCTTATCTATATGACATCATTTAGTTAAAAATAAATACTATAAAATTCCCTATTCTCTAACAACGACACTTGCAGATAGTTACCAAAACCACAAACAAATCTACTTTGAAATTTTAAATTTTGGTTATTTAAACAGATGGCTTTACACAACTTCAGCTTAGCAAAAACATGCGGAATCATTGGCTACGGTGCCTTTTTTGGGGGTTTAGGTGTATTGATTATTCGCCATGGCGGAACATATATGTTTCAAACCAATTTAAGTCGAAGTCTTTCAATAGCTGCTATAGTACCAGCGTCTTACGCAATAATACGTCTTAATGAAGCAGTATTTTCTCTTAATGCGCAAGGCACACTTGCCGCAGTAGCATTGGGTATTGGTACTGCATGTATTCTTGATGGCATCGCTCACACATGGTTTCCAAGTGCTTATGAAAATCCAGAGTTGCAGAAAAAAAATACACTGGCAGCATGTACCATTTCCAGATATGGATCTGGCTGGTTACTCTTCTTTGCTGGTGTCACTCTAACAATGCGCGTATTCATGTAATTTTTTAACTCGTTAAAGGATATTCATATCTTTGATGTCATATTGAATGTGACTTGTCTCGTATTACATATTAATTATGACCGTAGATGACAGAATCCTGATATTCGATTTACTTCCATGTAGAACTTTGAATAGAATATCCATTAATGCTATAAAAACATGAATAAAAGTATACTTCTAACTTTGTAGATGTATTCAACAACTAAAATTTTTCCATATTTTACTTTCGATCTATGGTTTTAGTGTTCATTGTAATTTGCTTAATAACATAAAAATAAATAGTACCTTAATCATGTTTTGAATATTTCACTTCATTCAAAGTTCCGAATTGAGAGAGGACAACATTTGCATATCCTTTTCTTAACTCTTTTACAAAGAAGATCACTACAAATTTCTTATTTGTTTATGAATAATATATTCATTCAGTATTACCAGTAGTAGTCATCAGCTTATTTTTCCTGTTGGAGATATTTAATGAATGTTATCTATGCGACGGATACTATAATGAATATTTTATGGGAAAATAATCGAGTCTTAATCATTGCTCCATGACGAACACGACTTTAGCATCTGTAAACAAAATAATGATTAGTGAAAAGTAATATCTTTCTGAAATTACGACACGAATATTTAAGTCTTTTTTTTCAATAGATAAATCGTACAATACTTTTCAAAGGATTTTTCAATTTTTTCTAATAAATCATAGGTAGATGACCCAATTCTAATACAAATTTTCTTTCTTTTTCGGATGTACTCTTGAGGGTGTGGGTGTGGGTGTGCGTATCATTCCACTCTGTACTCACACCCCACACCCACATCCACTTCTACAACGATACTGCAAAGAGGGCACTGCAACTAAACAGCAGTCACAGACCCTCACTATGAAGAAGAATTTCCCTTGTTTCGAGTTTCTTTTTTTTCGAATAACTTTTTCCCACACAATTAGTTCTTTCTCCGACAATAATGTAGAGAGAAAATTATGATCCTTTTTCACGCAAGTAACTAATCGAGCCGTTCAGAAATTGACTTCGGATTTGAAATCCTCGAGCTCGATTCACTTTCATTAACCTTTATAAAATATTGTTATTTACTCAAAAAACCCTTCTCTTGACCCTGAAAACTCAATTCAAAATTTCGAAAAACTGACTTTAGATTCGGATTCTCAGACCCCGATTTTTAGAAGTACAGAAGATTTTTTTAACCTTGATGTTTTTTTGACCCCGACAAACATCGCCGCAAACGCATTTTGGATTTTTTCTGTATGACCCTCCCTTCACTAGAGGTATAAGACCTATGAATACTGAGAAAAATACACTGTATTCGACAGTAATTTTCAATTATTTGCGAATCAGTGTTCTTTTATTTGCTGAGTCCGATATCAGCATAAGATCTACGTTTTTAACGAGACTACATTTCCATTAGTGAGAAATCTTTTCTATGGAATATGTTGGCTCGTTAATTCTTTTTCTGTAGTTTGTTAATTAAATATTCAATATAAAATCATAGAAAAGCACGTCTATATGCTTTTCTTATTATTAATAAATGATCGATAGTTCTTACCTGCGTCACTGTCTCAATCATGAAAGACAGCTAGAAGGAACTGACGGCAAAATAGTATGCGTCAAATGAATCGTCGATGCTTGGCGCTTAAATATATGATATTAACATCCAGTATTATTCATATATTTACGTCATACATGAGTATAATAAGAGTTTGACAACCACTAACAGTGGTAGTATTATTTCAATTTATTTCATAAATGTCTAAAACAATAACAAGTAGAATATTTCCAAATTTTTTATTCTTGCTTTTTTTGGTCACAAAAGCTTCAGTAGCGACACAAAATTTTCGTCTCTATTATACAGATAATATAGACGGCAATGAATTGGACCATGACTGTTTGTTTTATAATGCCAATGCTGCCAATACAACTAATGCGATTTCTAAAAGCAAAGCGATTCGATCAAACCAAATTATTTCTTATTGTATACGTTCGTTTAATTTGTCATCCAATCGGTTGTTTACTAACGAAAAACATGTCATTCATGGAACATCAATTACATTCGAAACATTAAGAAGAAAAAATATAACAAGTGAACAATTATACTTATTATCTGCACCTGTTGATGTAGTTGAGAGATATCAAGAATTTCTCGAAAATTCTCAGTCGTCTCTGTCAATTTTTACGTTTAACAATTGTTCAGAACCATGGTTCGGTGAATATTGTCAATATTCATTTAATATGTCATGTACATTCAATGAAATTGTATCGGCTTATTTTAATCATCGTACTTACAAAGGGAATGATTTAATTGACTATGGGACATGTTATATATTCATGGAATGCAATCGAGGTCCGTCGCCATCTTGTCTTGACTAGCATGAGGTTTGCGATGGAAAGATTGATTGCTTAAATGATGGTCGAGATGAAATTGATTGTGATCAGTTAGATATGAGTGAATGTAAGGATTATGAGTTTCGTTGTAGCAACGGATTTTGTATTCCAAAAGAGCTGTTCAACGATGATTCATTGAATCCGGACTGTATCGATAGTTCGGATGAAAAATATGATGAGACAGAACATTTTTTTTCGTGGTCGTGAGAATTGTTTTAAGGACCTGACGTTCCGCTGTGAAGGGGCTAAATGTCGAAACGAACGTATGTTATCATGTGGTAATAACCAATGCAGTATGGTATCATGCACTCACAGTCGCCAGTCTATATTAATGGAAGCAAAATTATCTCGAAATGAAAATCTTCATATATCATTTGAATGCTGGGAAATTTTGATTTGCTATTCCATTACATTTATTACCATTGACTACTTTCGTGAAAACGCCAAATGTGTATTCTACTATGAGATAGAAAGTCGACTTCGAGAAAAGTGTCCGTTTCTTTTCTTCTCCCCCGCTCCACCAGTAATGCTTAATCATGTTCACTTTGTATATGCAAATAATTTAACAAATCGATATTCAGAAGGCAGGTTGGTGCCTTATTATATATGCTATGATCAAGATTTATGTGAATGGCTTCCGGTTACTATTTTCATTAATGGTTCAACTTGTCGACATACTTCTGAATTGAACTTAGGCATATTATCGATGGATTTAGATGATTATAAAAGCGACGTTCTGACCTTATTTCATAGATGTTCAACCACGAAGACTAGATATACTGAATGTCCAAAATCAAAGCCATATCGTTGTGCAAATTCATCGAAGTGTATTGCTTTGAATCGACTCGTTGACGGTTTTTTCGATTGTTTTCAAGGAGATGACGAAGAAATCGCAAATAGTTGCAACTTACCAGATATAGATTATCGTTATCGATGTTCTTCGGAACAAAAATGTATTCCAATGTCTAGAGTTAATACCAATCGACCTATTTGTATCGGCGGAGAAGATGCAAAATTTATGCCCGGTACATCTCGACAAACTTTTCATTTATCATTCACAACACTTTGTAATGGCTTTGTCGATTATTACTCAATCGGTGAACTTAATTATACAGATGAAATGGATTATGAAGAATGGGCCTGTAACAATATATATACGCGATACGATGAAAGATGGAATTGTCCGAATGTAGCTGATGAAGCGAATTGTTCTGCTAATCCATGCCGTCCCGATGGTCATCCCTGTATCTCACCGTTCAATAACAATTTCACTTGTTTACCTCTTGCTCGAATTAATGATGGCCATATTGATTGCATAGGTGGCTACGATGAGCAATTTCGTTGTGGACGAAAATTAGGAAACAATATGGATAAAAATTATCGATGTTTCAATGACACGAATTGTATTCATATTTATCGAATGTGTGATTTAGACATGAATGACTGTTCTTCGAGCTATGATCGCGATCTATGGTGTACATACAACTCAAATCTATCAGCTTTAACAAACGATGACATACTTCAAAGAGAACGGAATGCAAATGAACAATCGTATTGGATTCATCTATCTTCGAGCTTTCAAAGAGAAGCTTATGTCTATTT